AAATAGAAGCTATGCTCAGTTGGCCAGAACCTAAGAATCTGAAAGGGTTAAGAGGGTTTCTTGGGCTGACTGGATATTATAGGAAGTTCGTGAAGAATTATGGTAAACTTGCCTTACCTCTTACCCAATTACTCAAGAAGGACAGTTTCAAATGGGATTCAAATGCCACTACTGCTTTTACTGAACTAAAACAAGTCATGACCTCTCTCCCGGTGCTAGCAGTACCAGATTTCAACAAACTCTTCATACTAGAGACTGATGCCTCAGGTACAGGGCTAGGGGCAGTCCTGATGCAGGAAGGGAGGCCCATAGCTTATATGAGCAAAGAACTATCCAAGAAAAATCAGTGCAAGTCAGTTTATGAAAGAGAGCTCATGGCTATCGTTTTAGCTGTACAGAGATGGAGGCCATATCTGTTGGGTAGATTTTTTGAGATCCATACAGATCAAAAAAGCTTAAGGTTTTTGGCTGAACAGAGAATTATGGGGGAGGAGCAGCAGAAGTGGACCTCTAAATTGCTAGGGTACAATTTTACCATCAAGTACAAACCTGGAATTCAAAATAGAGCTGCTGATGCCTTATCTAGAAGACCTATTCTACACTCACTCTCCATTGTCACTTGTCAAGAGTGGGAGGGGTTAGAGGAGGAGCTACATTCTGACCCTAAATGCCATGACCTGATTCAGAAGATCATCTCTCAACCTGATCAGCATCTAGACTTTCAGATTATTAAAGGGTTATTGTATTACCAGAAGAAGCTGGTACTGCCTAGACAGTCCCCTAGAGTACTCAAGGTGTTAAAAGAATATCATGATTCATCAGTGGGAGGTCATTCAGGGTACTTTAGAACCATGAAGAGGATCAGCAATCTGTTTTATTGGTATGGAATGAAGACTGACATAAAAAAATTTGTTGAAGGATGTACCACTTGCCAAACAAATAAATATCAAGCTCTGAAACCCGCTGGATTGCTACATCCCCTGCCCATTCCCAGCAGTAATTGGACAGACATCAGTATGGACTTCATTGGGGGGCTACCAAGATCCCAGGGCAAAGATACAATCTTAGTGGTGGTGGACAGATTGACGAAATATGCACACTTCTTAGCTCTATCTCATCCCTACAATGCCAAGGAAGTTGCAGATTTATTCACAAAAGAGGTGGTTAAACTACACGGATTTCCTAAATCTATTGTAAGTGATAGGGATAGGGTATTTATGAGCTCCTTCTGGTCAGAGCTTTTCAAACTGGCAGGTACCCAGCTTAAATTCAGCACAGCCTACCATCCTCAGACAGATGGGCAGACTGAGGTTGTAAATCGTTGCCTGGAAACATATCTGAGATGCCTCACTGGGAGGAAGCCTAGACAGTGGACCCATTGGCTACATTGGGCTGAATTCTGGTACAACACCAACTACCACTCTTCTTTGAAATTGACCCCTTACAAAGCATTATTTGGGCAAGACCCTCCTGCAGTCATCAGGGGGGATGTGTCTTTAACTGCTGTGGAGGAAGTATCTAAATTGACAGCCCAAAGGAATGCCATGTTGGAGGAATTAAAAGGAAACCTAGCTCAAGCTCAGAATCTAATGCAACAACAAGCAAATAAGCATAGGAGGGAGATGGAGTTGATTAAGGGAGACAATGTCTATCTCAAAATACAGCCTTACAAACTTCAAAGTCTGGCCAAGAGGATTAATCAGAAGTTGAGCCCCAGATTTTATGGCCCCTTTCAGATATTGGAGAAAATTGGCCCTGTAGCTTATAAACTCAAACTTCCAGAGAACAGCCGGATACATCCTGTGTTCCATGTTTCCTTATTGAAGAAGGCCTTAGCACCTACTACTGTTTGCCAGGACCTGCCCAAATGCCTTAATGAAGAACTAGAGCTACAAGTGATACCAGAAGAGGTGGTGGAGAGCAGAAGAAACCAGGAAGGAAAAGAGGAGGTTCTCATACATTGGAAGGGTTTACCAAAATTTGAAGATACTTGGGAAGATGCACAAGTAATGAAGGATCTATTCCCTGAGTTTCACCTTGAGGACAAGGTGAATTTTCAGGGAGGGAGTATTGATAGGATGACAGCTCAGCCACCTATTAAATATTTTAATAAAGTTTATCAAAGGAAGAGGGGAAGGGCAGTTTAGTAAATTTGCTCATAAGTTAGTTATTTACTTTTGTCCCTGCGTGGACACTTTACTATAAATAGTATGTTAGTAGCTAATAAATGCAGGCTGAAATTAGTGGATGTCAGAACTTTTTGGAGGTTGGGCCCCTCGAATTTGCCCTGAGCACTGTATCCTCTTGTGATCTGTTCGGTTGGATAATAAAATTCCCGATCATCTCTCCCATTTCTTATTGAGTTTTCTATCTATTTTGACCATTCTTATCATGCTTTGTCAAGGAAGCTTCATTTGCACTCCCTGTCAATAGTGACTTGCCAGGAGTGGGAGGGATTAGAAGAGGAGCTATTGAAAGATTGTAAAGAGTATGTGCAATATGTGCCAAGTTGTGATAGGGATGAGAAATGACATCAAACAATTTGTGCAAAGTTGTGATGTGTGTCAAAGAAATAAGTATCAGCCCTTAAAACCAGCTGGTTTACTACAGCCGCTACGGCGCTACCTATTCCAGATCAAATATGGGCTGACATTAGTATGGATTTCATTGGTGGGTTACCCAAAGCAAAAGGGAAAGACACTATCCTAGTGGTTAACAAAGTTTGCACATTTTATAGCTCTTTCACATCCATACAATGCCAAGAGAGTAGCTGATATGTTCATAAAGGAGGTGGTGAAACTCCATGGATTTCCAAAATCCATAGTGAGTGATAGGGACAGCTTGTTCTTAAGCTCCTTTTGGCCTGAATTGTTCAAACTGGCTGGTACTCAACTGAAATATAGCACATCCTACCACCCCCAGACAGATGGGCAGGCGGAGGTGGTAAATAGATGTTTGGAGACCTACTTAAGATGCTTAACTGGGAAGAAGCCTAGAGAGTGGACAAAATGGCTGCCATGGGCAGAATTCTGGTATAACACAAACTATCATATATCCTTGAAACAGAATCCTTACAAAGCACTATATGGGCAAGAGCCTCCAGCAGTAATAAAAGGGGATGTAGCCCTCACTGCCATTGAGGAAGTTTCCAGACTGACAACTGAAAGGAATGCGATGTTAGCAGAGATCAAGGAAAATTTAGCCATTGCTCAAAATCAGATGAGACAACAAGCTAATAAACACAGAAGAGAAGTACAATTGGAAGTAGGAGAGCAGGTATTTTTGAAGATTCAGCCTTATAAATTGCAGAGTTTAGCAAAAGGATAAACCAGAAACAAAGCCCAAGGTATTATGGTCCCTTTGAGGTCATTGATAAGCTGAGTTCAGTGGCATTTAAGCTGAAATTACCAGAGGGCTGTACATTACATCCTGTATTCCACATTTCTCTGCTCAAGAAGGCACTGTCACCTAACATTCAATGCCAGTCTCTACCTAAGTGTTTGAATGAGAACTGGGAACTTCAGGTGTTACCAGAAAGAGTGGTGAATATAAGGGAGAATGCTGAAGGAACAACAGAAGTTTTAATACACTGGATGGATTTACCTGATTTTGAAGAATCTTGGGAAGATGTGTACAAGATACAGGAGCAATTCCCAGAATTCCACCTCGAGGACAAGGTGGATCTTCAAGGGGGAGAATTGATAGAAGCAGGAGTAAAGAGGATGACAACAGAAGTATTATTAAATTCTATGACCACGTGTACCAAAGGAGAAAGGACTTAGCCAAATAACTAATTGAGCTGGCCAGTTAGTTAGCGGGTACCAACTGTTTGGGGAGGGAAAGTTTGTAAATAAATAGCAACATGGAGGAATAGTTAGGCAGGCTGTTTGACAGTTAGAATTGGGTCCTGGAGAGCCTGGCACTCTCGAAATTGCCTAGACTAGTTCTCTGTAATCGCTGTTTGTGAATATTGAATAAAACCTTCAGTTTTTCTTGATTTCTTGTGTAAGAATTCTGTAGATTACCTTTCTCTATCATAAACATAATTCCAAAGAGTAGGATACGAACTCCAATTTCCTTTTTATTTATTTGTTTATTGCCACTGGGACAGCAGACCTCAAACAATATGGTTTTAACTTGTGACTCATATGACTTTGCATCTTTCAGTTTAGTCTTCAAAAACATCAAGACCCTTCCTTGACACTTGTTATTTGGTGAAAAAAGATCAAACTTCATATTTTATTCTCATCCCGATTATGATCTTACCTTTGTAGCCAATTAGGCAATTAGGGGCCATAGTTTTCAGTGGAAACAAACTTCACAAATAATACTCGAATATTGTTTTCTGTCCGTCACTCCTTTATTTACTTTCTGGGATGTTCATATGTTCCCGGGCTAGAGTTCACACTAGCGGCAGTTGGTGAGGACAGAAGGATGTGTCTCCTTTATATTTGCAGGCAATATAGGGGGAAGTAAGGGTGCTGAGGAAGGGATAAAGCTTCAATAATTTTATGGATTTCCTTTGTCCTTTTAATGATTCAATATTGGCTTGTTTCTTATTCAAAGGAAGAGTCCCTACCTCTAGAAAGGGTTACAAGCTCCAGCAAGGAAAGATAGGATTACATAAAATCAATTCTTAACATAAACTTAATGAAAGAAAGCAGTTAACCAGTATAATGAAGGAATTAATATCCTTCCGTACTAAACTGCTCAATTAGCCAAGGATTTGCCCTTGATGTTGCGACACTTATAAGTCTTTCCAAAGAATGCATCAGGCATAGGGAGTAATAAATATCAAATATTCAAATATAGAATTTGTGTAGAAGATGGAGTGTTCACTATGTACTATACTCTCATAGTTCCATTACCTATGGACCTACCTTAAATTGCCATGTATGTCCCCTTAAACAAGCATATAGGGCTCTTATTCTTGAATATCTTCTGTCCATGTAATCATGTAAGACTCATGATAATACTTGCTTTATAATCCAATGTGCCAGTGAGGAACCACATAGATCTTGATGCTTACGTACCTCCAGAAGAGCTACTTCAGATACTTCCCGCTAAATCATCTATCAAGGGGCCTCATTTTGGGCCCAAGATTGGACCAAATAATGCAAATTTTATTCTGGTTCCATCACATCCCTTTATAATATTATTTGACTATTATCTCCATTTTTAGTTTCCCCCCAGCTTTATGATCACTTCTCTCCATTTTCTTTTAACCCACAGGGAATGCAAGCATTACTTGATCTAGTTTTTGCTGTTGAGGGATCTGTATCTGAAGCAGCTAAGAGGTTGGGGTATGTGATATAATACCAATACCCCTCCCTTGCTTCTACGTAGTATTTGTCTGCTTGCATGCTTGACCGTATTTTAACATATGAGCTTTTTCATGTTCTCATAAAGCAGGAATTAATAACTCTTTTTTTACGTGGGTATAACAATACAATTAAGCTTACTAAAAGCATGTTGTCTCCGAATGATCATCTAATACGTGGCTCAGCAAGACGGGTTTTATTCTAAAAAGTCAACATAATAGGATGAGTATGTTATGGATCCATTCTATGGACAAGTATATCAACGAAGGTGTGACTGAGAAGGTTCGGGAAAATTAGTTGGGCAAATCGAGAGGTTAGAATGGTTTACGTGGCTGACCAGGAAGCTAAACAGGAAAGCTGGCAGATTGGCATCTGGCAACATTTAATTAATTAGATCGTAGTTATTTCATATTCATAGTTATTTCCTTATTTAGTTAGGAAACTTCCTATTATCTTTATGCTTCCTTTTATCCTTATGCTTCCTACTAGGACTCTTGTAACCTCTATATAAGGGACCTAATATTGATTAATGAAGTACTTTTGGAAGAATTAAAAGAAATTATATTAAATGGGACTAAAACATGGTTAAAACTCCAAAATAGGACTTCAAGTTTTAAATTTCCTAAATGGGACTCCACATTACCTTTTTGCCCCTAATCCCTAAATCACCTTTTCCCCAAATCCCTCTGCATCGCTCGATCGCAGCTCAACTGTTCGCAACTCGATCGCAGCTCAACCTCCATCGATCGCAAGTTCGCAACTCGACGCTGGCCTATCATCGCATATGCCTGCTCGACGCCGGACGCCATCTCCATCAAAATCAGGTATTCTTCTCCTTCTCCTTCTTCTTCTTCTTCTTCTTCTTCTTTTTTCTTCTTCTCCTCCATCTCCTTCTCCTTCTTGTTCTTCTTCTTGCTCTTCTTCTTCTCCTTTTGTAAATGTCATCTTTCTATTCCAAAATGCCAACATTATTTTAACATTATTTTTAGTTTTTTATCAATCAAATTTTAAATAAAATTTTGAATTGTGAAAGTCATTTCTCTTCATTTTTTATAAATTCCATCTAATTCACTTTAAATCGTTCATACTATTTTTCTCACTAATTGGACCTGAAAATGGCATAATTGTTATTTTATTGAACACTCATTTGGAAAAAATGTCACTTTTTTGACATTACATTTACCAAGATGACAGTTTTTATTTGACATTTATAAAGAGTAAAAATGACACCAACTTGACATTCTCCACGACTGCCATATTTTTATATATGGAAATGTCATCTCCATGACATTTTGGGAACAAAGGTGGCATTTTTTTACAAAACAGAGTAAGAAGAAGAAGAAATCATATGAGGAAGAGGAATCTGGGAGATAATGTTCGAATGTGAAGAGGAAGAGAGAAAAGGAAAGAGAGGCAGAGAACAGAAGGGGAGTATGTTCGAATCTGGAATCCATCTTACAAGAGATATACAATGGCGATCTTATCTTGCAACTCATGCCAGGCAGCTACGGCGTTCACCTAGGTGGCAGCAATCACCCAGGCGGCGGCAATCAGCCAACGACAGTGGAAGTCTGTGCACCGAAGCCTTGCGCAGAGGGTGGTGGTGCCGGCAATATGAAGTTATCGGTGCAGGGCACCGCAACAGAGTAGTCGGAAGTCTAAAGATCATGCGCTAAATTCATTAAGGGCAATTTTGTCCGATCGGTAATTAAAAGTCCTATTTAGGTAATAAAAAACTTAATGTCCTACTTTGGAGTTTTAACCAAGTTTTAGTCCCATTTGGGAAATTCTCTCAAGAATTAATTTTGATGTGTCTTGACTAGGTCAGACACCGATTCATTCCACCTTATAACTTATAGAATTATTCTCTCTCTCATCCGATAATCTGAAAATAATAATATTGATCCTAAGATCTCAATGGGCTCTTCTCTTCTGAGATCCCGTTTGAGGCCTTGGACAAGGTCGTATACGCGAGTCCTTAACAATTTGGTATGAACATCAGGAACAATGGGAACGAGACCAGATTCTGCTGCAACGAAAAACATGAAGAGTCTCATTGACCAACGACAGATCGATCTTGAGGATTAACTGGCAGCCCTTCAAACTACGGTATCTAGTCTAGTTAGCCTGACCGCAGCCTTCGCTGAGGTGCAGCAATCCATCGCAACACTGACCAACTCTGTCCAGAAGGCTATGATTGATAACTCCTGCAAGTCATTTAGGGAGGGCCGGCAGGATACTGAACAGCACCAGCGCATCTTTGAGGATTCCATGGTTCCACGTTTTTCTAAATTGGAGTTTCCCTAATATGGTGGAAAATTGAACCCTTGTCATGGCTAATATGCTATGAACGATTTTTTTTTTCAACAGAGAACCCCTCTCCAGAACCGAATTGGGTTAGCTACTTTTCACTTGGACTGACTTTAATATGAAGTGCTCAAAATGTTTCAGACCGCCATGCAGTGCCAACCCAGAAGGTGACCTAGCCAAACTGAGGCAGACATCTGTCTTGGAGACCTATATTAAAACATTTCAGCAACTATTGGCACACACAGCTGGGCACACACAGTTGCATGCATACTCGTCATGGCGGTAAGGCGAGTCGCCAGCCGACCGCCATATCGCCTAGGCAACAAGGCGCCCGCCTAGGCGAGAATTAGGCGACTAGTCGTACATTGAATAATATTATATATATATATATTATATTACATATATATTACTAATTAAATTGTATATTACCTAGAATTGAAAACAACTATGCTCATAAAGTACGTATATCATACTCCGTAATTCATATATTTGTATGCACAATTATTTATAATTTTATATAATACAGGGTAGTTATTATTAATAGTTTAACGGTTTTATAACATACTGCAATTGTATAATACTATAAAATTGTACGAGCATCCTATGCTCTGTGCCTCTGACTGATTGTATGTGTGCGTACTGTGTATATAATATATATATATATATACAACTTAATTAATTAGAATATTAAAAAATCGATCGACAGAGGAGAAGAGAAGTTTGACAAGACGAGAAGAGATGGGAGACCTGGGAGTGTACTAGTTGGGCACTTCCTGCGAGAGAGTGCAAGAAGACTGCGATCTGCGCTCGTCTGCTTCCTGCGAGTCGCGTCTGCTTCTTGGGCCTGCGGACTGCGGTTAGACTAGCCAAAATCAGGACGCCTTATCGCCAAAAGCTCGCCTGGACGACGACTGGATGACGCCAACATCGCCTACTCTTATTCTGGCGAGCCGAGTTAACCCGGCGACCAATCCCTAGTGCCAGGACGCCTAGTCGCCGACTAGGCGACGCCGTGACAAGTATGGTTGCATGCAAGTCAAATTTTCACTGCTGGGTATGTGACTTGGTGCGAATGGAAGTTGAGTGCGAGGACCCTCTCGACGTGAACACTGCCATCATGTTGGTTCAAACCATTAAGTGGAAGTACCAAATTCCGCCCGACATGGTTGCACCTTTAGTACGCCGCCATCCATTGTCTTGTTCGATCGCTTCAGCAATGACACCTACTGATTCTAGTTTGTCTCGCCGTAGTTCTAATCAAACTTTCATAAAACATTCCCACGCCAATGTTTTAACAGGTTGTTCTTTGTGGAAATTGTGGAGGATGACCAACTCGAGTAGTATCACATGCTAGTTAGGCCTGGGACCGGTTCGGTTCCTAGGTAAGATAGATGGAACCTTTAAAAAATATCAAATCTTAATAACGATTCGGTTCTTATAATTTTTTTATAGAACTGACATGGGACCGAACCATTCTTAATGGTTCGTTTCTTGTCATTTAATGGTTCCTAGGTTTTAAAAAATTTCATTCAAATCGCCGTTCAATTTATGCCAAAAAAATATTCAACGTTTGAAATGACAAGAAATACAAATATGTTTACCATCCTTTCGAACCTCAAAAGTTGAATTTAAAACATAAATACATACCAAACTAAAAATTTAGTAAATAAAACAAAACAACATAATCGCTACAATCAATAGTTATGATCTTGATTCATCTCAAAGGCTAATATTGTGCATATTAACGAGAGGTTTCTTGGAATTTCTACAGGTTAAGCACTGGGGCTTTATCAAGGCTAATATTATCAGATGATTCCCTTAAGATGGCTGTCAATGAGTTCAGAGCATCTAAGGTATGGATGCAGCATTATTGCTATTCCATTTCTAGAATTTAAATTTTCATTTTATATGTTTTTCTTTATCCATCCCTGAAGTCTATAAGCAACCTTTCATCCCTTTTTTAAGAGGACAGTTTGCTTTTGTATCAGTCCCTTAGATGACACCTTCTCATCTCATATAATTAAGTTTCTTAAAATTCGACATTTTCCTGCTTGAATATTTCGAAATGAGAATAACATTTTTCTATCAATTTGTATGATGGAGGAAATATAAATTTTGATATTGTAGTCTTGTAAAGCAGTATGAATGAGGTTTTCTAGCAGATAGCCAATGTTCGAAATTGCGTATTGCATAAACGAGGCAGTTTTGTGGTATTGTGTAAATGGCGCGCTGAGGCTCAACGATGAGGCGTAGAGCCTCATTTGTAGGGTAATTGTGTATACAGAAACTTAGAAATAATAAGACGTAAGTATTAATCCAAAGTAACAAATTTGATACACAAACAACAATAATGTCATAATGAAGTAATGGAAATCATGATAGGGACCCGGACACTCCTCCTAATAAGAATAATACCAAGTTCATTAATATTGTATAATAAAAGGGTCCTAGGCCCAATAACTTAGGGCTTAGGGCCGACCCTTTAGGATAGTATTATAATAATGAGCGGGTAAGGGGAAAAGGGGGGAGACTTTTGGGATCAGACTGGGAACTGGGAGTGCTAGACTACTCTCTAAGTGTCTCAATTGTATCTTTCCGTTCCTGTTTCTTCTCTTTCTTATACGCTAGGCTACAAATTCTGCCATTGTATTTGCTTCAGGAATTAAGAGGTTCTCTCTTTTCCCTACTTAATATACATAAACTGTCTGGTCTCTATCAAATTGTTAATTCAGACATGACACCAGAAAAATTATTTATGATAACATATTTTAGTAGATTCACGCGTTAAAAAGTGACTCATCTATCTATTGGTTTGAAAAAGGAACAAAACTACTAGCATTTCCCTCATCATCATCATCATCATCATCAAGGTCAAGTTCAAGAGCTTTGTTCTCAAGTGCAAGAACATCTTATTTAGCAAACTGTATAAAAAGCATACTATTAATTTTATCAATATAAAATTTTCCAATATATAATTAAGTTTAGAAAAAATGAAAATTAATTGCATAATTTAAATAAAATAATATCCAAATAAAATTTCCAATCTAAAAATAAAATTTCCAATATATAATTAAGTTTATAAAATTTCTAATTCTTAAAAATTAATTAAGTTTAAATCTGGTTTGGTTTATTTAAGTCTGGCTTGGGACTGAAACCAATATAAGTATGTATATACCAAAGCTATTCTTCATTATAATTGCTATACATGGTGTTCAGTATTTTTTCAAGGCTTACATTTGGTTTCAGTCCTTGTAAATATATTGTTTTTGGTCCTTGCAACCATAACCATATCCGTGTAACAAAACATTGACAAGGCTAATATGATTTCACTCTTGCCTTACAAGTCACTTTATTTTGATAACTATATACTATTTTGTTTGCAGGGAGCCGTAGAGACATGTAAACGTTAATGATCAATTTTGTTTAGCTTTCACCCTACTCGTAGTCTAAAAAAATATAAAACATTGACATTGGAAAGTTTTGAGTGGAGTTATGCGAGCCACATTAATTTTTTTGCTGAAAGTAATTGAAGAACCAAAGAAGAGAGCACTAATTACAGGGATAAAAAATCTACAGGGGTCTCAATAAAAACATGCTATATTTGCAAGGGACTAAAAATATATTGAAGCCTATTTTTTATGCTTCATTTTACTCTCTTCCTCTTCCCTCATATCTCCTCCCCTCCTCTCCCCCTCTTTTAAACCAAACAAGGGGTAGTCAGCTGCCTATAGAACTGAACATGCAAGTATGGAACTTATGAAAACAGAAAAATAAAAATCAACGGAATAAATCCGTTGCCCAAATAATCAACGATATAAATCGTTGCCCATAGCCAAAAGGCTGAAATCCAATTTTATTCCCAGATGAACAAGAATGAACCCTGACAAGGGGTATAAATAGCCTTCTAGTAAGAAACTCCACAGAAACCCTAATCGAACCCAAATTAATTAAACCCTAATTTGGTCCAAATCAACTCTACTAATTACTCTATAAACAATAGGCCCAAACTAGAAAACATAACATAAACTTTATAATAATCATCATTTCATTTTCATTTACCCCAGTGCCGCAAAGGCTCCCACCTACGGTGGGGTAAGGGGGGATCGGATGTACGCAGTCTTACCCCTGTACTAAAGCACAGAGAGACTGTTTCCGGATGACCCATAGTGAAAATCCTGTCCAAAATTGCATGGACTGACTGCTGCTTCATAACAAAGAAGCGCAGACAGTTTAGTGAGCCATTTTGCTTTATTCCATCATAATCTCAAGCCAAAAAATAATGAATCTTTGGCTCCATTGCAAATGATGGAAAGATAAACTTTATAATAATAATTAAACTAAAACTTCAGCCCAAATTAACTCCAACCCACAACCAGCCCACGAAGGTGGGTTCAAGCCCGTCCCCGCCTTTAGTAAACTCATGGGGGCTTCTGCCCCATCTTCTGCTTTATATCAATTCCATCCCCCTTCGAAACAACCTTATCCTCAAGGTTGAAATCCAAAAGCAGGCTCACATTTGTCCTCGGGGGTTGCCCCGTATCTTTAGGAAAACTGTCACTCGATCCCTTCATGCTGCCATCACTTTGAAAAGACATACTGCTCTCACTATTTTTGGCCAATTCCATTGCTATCTCCCCGACTGTTTGGCCGCAGCAACCGTAAGGATCCCCAAATTGGCCCTTTAAGCCCATTCAGGAAATACCCCAGATAATGATCGTCAGATAGCCCGACTTGTTACTTGAACAAAAATTGAGATGTACTCCTCCACAGTCCCTGTCTGCTTGACTCCGGATTGCCGTTCAAAGCAATTGCCTTTAAACCGTGAGTCAAAACGAGCCACTAATGCCTGTGTAAGCTTATCCCATGACATGCCTAGCTTTCGTGCCCATAACCAGGTCAACCAATACAGGGCTGACACTTCCATCGCAACTACAACGTTTGCCACCTTCTTTCCCGGCGAAGCACAGTTCAGTTCGAACTGTTGCTCAACCCTATCAACCCAGCCGATTGGGTCTTCTCCGTCAAACGAGGGCAATGTCATGAGAAGGGTGCTGCACAGTCCAATTCCGAACGAGGATGCTGCTGCCGCGTCGAGTGAAGCCACCGCCGATGAATGCTCCTCCGCCGCTGGCGGCGCGAGAGCCTTTGTGAACCTAGCCAAGGAGGCTGCGATCTCTGCCAGTTGGATTCCTTGCGCGTCCAGCTTTGCTCCCTGCGCGTCCAGTTTCCGATTGGTTAGGGCTTGCTTGGCCTCCATCTCTGTCAAACGTTCAGTGATTGATCTCGTCATTCCGGCGGGACGGGATCCGGTAGGTCGGACCAATTGATGAAAACAGAAAAATAAAAAACAACGGAATAAATCGGTTGCCCAGATAATCAACGATATAAACCGTTGCCCAGAGCCAAAAGGCTGAAATCCAATATTATTCCGAGATGAACAAGAATGAACCCTGGCAAGTGGTATAAATAGCCTTCTAGTAAGAGATTCCACAGAAACCCTAATCGAGTCCAAATTATCTAAACCCTAATTAGGCCCAAATTAACTCAACTAATTACTCTATTAATAATAGGCCCAAACTAGAAAACATAACATAAACCCATAGCCCCAGCTTCTACTTTATATCAGGAACCTCAATACGTATAATTGTTTCATTTCTAGGCGATGAATTGGGTATGCAGTTTTTGCTAATAAACACAAAATTGTGGACAATCATCTGTGTTCTCTAGCCCCTGGTATTATGTTTCTAGACAGTGCTTCAACTATAGCTTAGATATTGGCTCTGTTTGGCACATCCAGCCGCCAACATATATATAGCTAAAAACAATTTGAATATTGAAATTTTGCATATTGAAACTAAAATTAACACATAACTTAAAGTGAAGAGGATATTTTTTTTGGAAAATGATGGGGTTATTACTTGATAAATGATATGCAGAAACTGCTTTTCTAAATGTTATGCGCAATTGCAAGATAGCAAATACAAAGTGAAAGATCATGTGAACTCGTATTTATTTACCACAGTATTTAATTCCCACGCTTTTTTGTGCAGAATTCTACAGAGTAAATACCTAAATAAGTTCTGAAATGAGTTTGCTGCACCTAAACAATTTTTGAATGAATAGATAATTCTTGGGGTTTCATAGTAATGATAGTACATGTGCCCTTACGTTGAGTTTGTGTTTGTATATGTAAACTTGGACTTATTTGATGTTATGTTAGACCAAATCAAACTTTAACAAACTAGTTCAGACTTCAACAATTATAAATTACAAAGACCGGACATCTTCCACACCAATTTAGACTAGGTCACACTTAAACAGACCAGACTAGAAAATTTCAGTCCAAGTAAAAACATCCTAAGTAGCAGCTAAAAAGATTTATATACATTGGCTAGTGTGTCTTTGTACAGGGTATGAAACCACTCAAGTAGGACGGATGGCTATCAAATATGTGATCTCTCTTGGGTAAGATTAAATATTTACTTAGATATTGTGTACTTTCTAAATTGGCATTGTTTAGAGTGCTCGAGTATTGAAATCCCACCTTTATAGCCAGCTGAGAGGAATTATTCAATACCATGGTTGTGAAATGATTGAAATCCTACTCCCTCATGGGCTTACAGTTCATATAAACTCTTTTAGGGGTGAGAATCAGAGAATGACATGACTGAACTATGGAACTATATGTACTTAATTGTAAATTACTACCATCAAGTGTTTCACTTAAAATGTAGTGATGTAACTTTGGTGTACCTTGGTACAATTCCGTGTGAACCTCAGATAATAGATCTTCATATTGAGTATGCACTTCGGTCATCCATATTGTTTATTATGTCACCTCCTAAGTCATCCTGCATTCGACTTTGAAAATGATGGTAACTGGTGGCTCACCATGGAAAACCCAATGTGCATGTCACATTAAACCCATTTCAAAGGTGTGTTCTCTAATATCTTTCAATGGAAACATTTTCCCATTGATACAACATTTATAGGGAAGACCTATCTTTCCTTCTTCATTCATAAAGTCTTTTACATAGTTTATAAAATCGTGTAGACCCTTTCAATATTCTTTATGAACATCGATTCTATTATTTATCCAACTTCTATCTGTTGGCATCCTCACCACAAGGAGAAAGCTTGAATGATCTATCAATCTATCCATCGTATAAATATTCTTTAATGAGTTTAATTTGAAAAAGGAAAAGGAAACATTTATAATGACCATTGAATGATTTTTTGTTTTATTTATGTTTCTATAATGACAAGGGATCAAAGTGTAATAGAAAGTTTTAAATTATGAATATGATATACTACTTATAGATGGTATATACAAGCTTGTATTAGATAAAAATGGGGTTTAATGCACCGAATCCCTTGACGCATTAGTCCATTGTGATTTAAAAAATGCGTTAAATCCCTTTGTGAACAAATTTAATTGCCAAATAAATGAAAAATGATTACTATTTTGTACAACTTATTATTTAGAAATTTAACAAAGTTACTTGCATATTTAATCATATTATTAAGAAATGTGATTTCGAAATTACAAAATTTGTTCTTGCAGGGTTTTGTGAATAAATAATTTTGACACAGGAGTTTGATGCATTATTTAAATCATAAGTGGCTAGTGTATCGAATCTATATATAATAAGAGGGTTGGATGCATTAAACCTGATAAAAAAGTAATTAGAAGATTCTATTTATTCATATTGTACTAATACTTTTACTATTCTTTGGTGGGTGATATGCCGAGCATGGCTGGAAAGTGAAAGGGGAGGGTGTGCGATATCCAACCTTACAAAAATTTCATGCTATGGTGTTTAAATGTACACCTATGACCTATGTAGCATTGGTACGGGTATGCGAAAACGGGTACGGGAATACGACAAAACTGAAAAAGTAGAATATAGATATGGGGTTATTCATAAATATTAAAAGTTATGAGGGTGTTATTATAAATATTAAAAACTATGGGGGATATTTATAAATATTAAAAATTACAATATTTTGTGAAAATATATACATATATTATCCTCTGACTACGACTCATTTGTGGCATTCGAGCACTTCATATTATCAAAATAGATAGAAATAAGTTCATATTTTATCTCATATACACTAGTGTATCTCGAAATATAAACATAGTCAATAAGTCTTTAATTCAAAATGAGAAACAAGTCAAATCATCACAATTTTGAATATAAAAATACAAGTATTCAAAGTTCTTGGATAAAGGAGAGAGAAGACAATACTACAATATAAAAACTAAAAGTTCTAATACAAATTTTGAATGGAAGCATCTTGGATAATGTAATTTTTTTTTAATTTTTCATTTAAAAAAAATCATTATGTAAATTTTCGGTGTTTTTTTATTAAAAAAAGTTGATGCGTGTATCCGTTATGATACAAGTATTGAAAATTTTAAAATAATTACCAAAAAAGTATTGCATATACGGTCTGGGGACGTACGATATGAGTTAGTGGTGGGCAAAATAACTGAATCGGACTGGTATGGTACCGGACCGGAAAACGGGATTTCAAACGGTTCTCAAATTTTTTGTCCTGAACCGATTCCAAACCATGATTGGTTCTCATAAAATGAGAACCGGTACCGGACCGAATCGAATTATAATTTTATTAATTTATATAATTTTATAATTATATATACATGTATACCATATTGCCATTACTTTGATTACTCATTTGCAATTTGCTAATTGCTAGTTAACCGGATCGGTAAAAATGAATAGTATTATATGAAATTCATTAACTATGCACCCTATGTTATTGCTAGTTATTTATGTTTTGTACTATTATAGTTTATACGAAATTCATTAACTATGTAATACTACCTCTATCCCAAAATACTTTTCCATTTTCAAAACTTTGACCAATTATATTTTTTATTGAGAATTATTTATAATATAAAAATTATATGAAAATGTTCTTCGTGAAAAATACTTTCATAAAAGTATAAAAACTTATAACTTCCATAATACTATACTAATCAAAATCATGGTTCAAATATTTTGAAATGAAAAAGTTTTTTAAGACGGAGGTAGTATGGAATTTGATAATTGTGTGGATTTTTGGATGATGACTAAATTTTAATTTATTGAAAAAAGTGGCATTGTTTGGCATTGGTATGGCATGGTACCGGACCGTTTGAAAATGGAACCGAACCGAACGGGTTTAGGTCTAAGACCGAACCGAACTGTTTCAATAGTAACGGTCCGGGTACGGGTTCGGTAAAATATTGGACCGGACCGGACCGCTCCCACCCCTAGTATGAGTATCCTAGAGTATCTGATATAGGAACGTTTCCGATACGCTGATACGCTACCATAGTGAAGTATCCGTGCTTCATAGATGTACACTGATTTTAGGCCTTGTCTAGGGCGGTTCCAGATCGGCCGGTCCTGATTTCGATGTCGGACCGGCCGGTCCCGATTCCGATCTCGGTCGGCCGGTCTCGATCATTGGTATGCGAAGCCTGGGTCTGACCTGGTTAATCTGGGTCTGGGTTTGTTTTGGAATTCGAACGATCAAGTGTTAGTCTGGACCAGATCTTGTTCTATTTTTTCATTTCCCCTCGTTTCCAATACCAAAAAGTTAGCCTGTCCAGGACCAGAACATCCCGGTTTGGTCCCCAAATGGATGAAATGGGATCGGATAACATGCTTGGGCGGACTCTGGGCGATTGTCCATACTAGACTTTTTGGATACGGTCCGGTTCCAAACAGTGATGGACACGATATTGAATCGAGCCGGACCATCGGTCCGGGCTCACCCCTAACCTTGTGTCCTTGTCCATAAGTTTCCAAAAAGTAAAGTAAGATCAATTTCAGTCCGTAAACTTGAACATCAGTAGTACACTACAATAATGTTTTTTTTACCTTATGAATGATATTTTGTAAAGTTGTACTGTTACATTATGCTAGATTGTAAAACCTAAGCACATAAGCGCATGCACTCAAATAGGGATGGATCCGGGCCAGTTCTGGGCCGGGCCCGGGCGGGCTTTTTCCCCAGGTACTTGGACCCAGAACCGGCCCGGGTTGATACCGGCTCCGGGCCTAATCGGGCCGGGCCGGGCCAAGCCTGGTTCAATGTTTAATTTTTTTGGCTTTCTTGTTATCCCCCGACCCCCCCCCTCACCCCCACCCCCCAAACCTCCCCAAAACACCCAGCCCTACCCTAGGAAAAGAAAACAAATTGAAAAAACAAAAAAAAAGCCCGAGCCGATTCAACAAAAATGGGGCTCAAGCCTGGCTCGCCTGACCCGCCAAAACGGGCTAAAAGTCCGGAAGCGGCCAACCGGGCCCGGGCCGGTCCGGGTCCGCACAGTAGCGGGCCGGGCCGGGTTCCGGGTCGGTTCGGCCCGGCCCAGTCCATCCCTACACTCAAACATTGCCATAAACATTGTCGTAGTGTTGGGAGATTAGGGTATTAAAATTTTATATTGCGAGGGTTAATGTTTAAAATATTAATGTATTTTTTATAAGGGAGAATTTGACTTTGTACCTTATTTTCAAAATTATTAATGTATGCATCTCAAATCACTATAAAATCATTTAACTTTGTACTCCACTCCTTCATAATTTTTGGGCTGATGTGATGCACATTAATGATTTTAAAAATGGGGTGCAAAGTCAAATATCAACCAAAAGATGAGGTGAAACACGCATACACACATATATAATTATATATAGAGAGGAATGATCATGTCCAGCCGGATGGACAGGACCCTCCGGTTCATGTTTGGCCGCCGCCGTTTGGGGTGGTTGTCAGTGAAATTTTTTGATGAAATTTTTTAAACATGTTCTTCATCAATTCTAGTTTATTCATACCAAATTTCATTTAAACTTCAATCGGGAAGGTAGTCAAATAATCTTTTGAAGATAATTGCGCTAAAATATACATATAAAACACAAGTATTTTAATGTTTTTTTGCCTACCTTCCGGATTGAATTTTAAGCTTAAATTTGATGTGGATAAACTAGGCTTGATGAATAATATGATCAAAAAATTTCACCAAAAAATTCCGCCGGGTACCGTCCAAAACGGAGGCGGTCAGTCGGAGGATCTTGTCCGAATGGCTGGATAAGATATTTTCCGATTTTATATATATGGAGTGGTTCCGGTAAGAACGGACTCCCAGGAGAGAAATGAGAATGGATCTGGACCGTTGGATTGTATTATGTGGAACTGAATTGTGCATTTGGTGAAACTGAAATGTGCATTAGATGATATCGAAATATGCATTTTATTCCGCACATTTCAGTTTCACTAAGTGTACATTTCAAATTCACTTAATGCACAATTCAACTTCACATAATGTCACTGTATCGTACTCTTTCTGCTGCACATTTCAATTTCACCTAATGCACATTACAGTTTCATCTAATGCACATTGAATTTCACTTAAAGCAAATCTAACGGTCCAGATCGATTCTCATTTCTCTCGTAAGATCATATTCTTCTTTGAACCAAAAACCTATATATATATATATATATATATATATATATATATATATATATATATATATATATATATATATATATATATATATATATATATATATATACTAGCTTGGGCACACGCGTTGCGCGATGGTTGGTGCCCAATTTTTGGTAAAACAGGAATGCTGAACTTTGTAAGAAAGACGGTAAAATGCATCACAAAAGCAAAGCGTAAAAAAACAGTCAATGTTGTCGATTATAGCCTAGTAGTGAATACAAACTCTAGGTTAAATGTTTGGGCTAGAAAGCCTAGTTGTGAAAGTTATTAAACTTATATTACCTCTTGTGATTACACTCTAGTCTAGGCAAACTTATTTTTTCTGCATGCATTAATGGTTTTATGCTCCATGCAATCAAGAGCCGGTTTAATCAGGGGTATGAAAATT